GACGCCACAGCGAGGGGCGCTGAGACCGCGGACGGACGCTGAGCCCCACGGCGAGGGCGGGGGTCGAGTCTGAACTGCGCTTGGCCTTCTTCCTTTTTTAAGCCCTCACCGAGGACATGTGGATTGTTTTTAGAGAGAGACACGTTGATTACCGATGTGACGGAGAAACGTGCCCCGGAGGCACCCCGCCTCCCCCGAATGTGCCTGACCCGGGGGTCGAACCCGCCACCTGGGTACGTGCCTGACGGGAATGGAACCGAAAGCTTTGGTGCAGGGGAACGACGCCCCAAGGAATGGATACCCCCCCGCACCCGGGGACACACAGCCTCCTCTCCTGGGGGGGACCTTTATGACGTCCGCCCTGACCTGCCAGGGAAGCAGAGGACCCCGATGGGGGAGCCCGAGTTCACCGCATCCCGTGCGTTTGGCGGAGGCTGAAATGCGGGGCACAGACAGTGACCCATCAGGAAAAGCGGAAGCGTGTCGCCTGGTTGCGTGTCGCCGGGGCTGGAAGCCGGAGGCAGGAGGACCAGAAGCGGGTCGTCCCCTGTGGCTGCTCAGGGGACCGTGTTTGCCTCCCCATTGGCCCTAAGGACGAGGGCGAAGACCAGGGAGGCCGGCAGTTTCGGATCCAAGTCTTTTTTTTTTTTTTTTTAAATTCGCACCCGAGGATATGTTTTTATTGTTTTCTTTTTTTAAAGAGTGGGGAGTGTGGGGGAGAGAGACGCATGGATGTGAGAAGCATCCGTCTGTTGCCTCGTTGCACGCACCCCGACCGGGGAGGGAACCCGAAACCCAGGTATATATATGCCCCGGACCGGGAGTGGAACCCGACACCTTTTTGTTTTACCGGATGACACTCCAGCGCACCGAGCCGCCGCGCCTGGGCTGTGACCACCGAGTCCTGGCCGATTGGAGCCTATTGGCTGCAGGGAGGGTCGGTAGGAAGGTCGCTTGTAGAGTCAGTCATTGCACGGTGTGTAGGACACAGGCCAGCCACCCGCCCTGCTCTACAAGAAAGACATCTTCCCAGGCAGCCGATTGGTGGGAGCCACTCCCCATCTCCTGAGCCACTCCTCCTCCTGGGCTCCTGGATTGTGCTCCTGTGTCTGGGGTGCTCCTGGCACTCACCTGGGACCCACCTCCTTGATTGCTTTACCCAACAGCCATTTCCTTCCTACTCACAGATACTTGTTACTTGCTACCATGACCCTGCAATTTGCGTATTCCAGAAAGTCTGGAATCTACATTCCAAAGGATGTCTTTTTAAAAATATATATATAATTTTTTTAATTGATTTCCGAGAGGAAGAGAGAAGGAACGGGGTGATACCACATCCCTCAGGGAGTCTCAGAAAGTCTGGGGGACAGCGGTGGCAAAGGGCCTGGGCGTGGGGGCTCCTGGCCTGGTGTGGTGGGACAGTGTCCCCTTCGTGTAGAGTGTGGACGGTTGGCTGGGAGCGGGGAGATGAGGTCTCCAGGACTCCTGGGCTGGGAAGGGGGTCTTGGCTAGGCAATAGGGGTCTCTCTAGGTAGGGGAGGCCTCAGGTTGAACGGGGAGTGGGTGGTTCTCTGGGTGCTGAGGAGGTAGGTGTCAAGCCTGCCTTAGGGGTTGTTGACCCGGCTGAGCTAAAGTAAATGGTCCTTTGGGCTGGTCTGAGGACCCTTGGGCGTGGGGTGGTGCTGAACTGGAGGGCCAGGGCACATGGTGAATTTGGGAGCCCAGTCCCACTGAAACTTCCCAGGTTAAGTCACACAGCCTAGAATGCAGGCCTCTCTGACCGTCCAGCCATAGTTGAGGAAGGGACCTGGCAACTCACCTTGTGCTGGCGGCCAGGGTGGTCACCGCCCGTCCCTCCCAGCTTCCCTTGCCCACCTGGCACAGGCTAGGGGCGTTTGCGCAAATACAGTTTGGTTTCATACAGCCACTGGAAGGGGGAGAATTGGAGGGGCTAGAGTTGGTGCCCTGGGCATAAACTTAGTTGAAGGAACTGAGAAATCTTGGGGATGCCTGACTGCAGGGGAGCAGCAAAGGGGAGCCGTGTGGGGGCTGCTAGGAAAGGCCTCTCACACTGGGTATCCACTCCCATCCTTGGGTTTTGCCATGTCTGGTACTCTCCATTTGATTTGCTTAATAATCTCTACATCCACTCACTTGTTAAAACTCAAAACTCCTCCATTTGACCCAGCAGTCCCACTTCTAGCAATATATCCTGTATTCAATAGCAGTGTTATTTACAGTAGCCAAGCTCTGGAAATAGCCCACGTGCCCATCAGTAGATGAATGGATAAAAAGAAAAAGTGGTATATTTACACAATGGAATACTACGTGGCTGTTAAAAAAAGAACTCTTTCGCTTTGCAATAGCAGGGATGGACCTGGAGATTATGATGCGAAGCGAAATAAATCAGTCAGAGAAAGACATTTATATGTGGAACCTGATGAACAAAATAGATCCAGAGACATGGACGCAAGGACCAGACAGATCTCAGAGGGAAGGGGCCTTGGCGGGGACTGGAAGAGATGAGCTAAAGAACGTATGTGCATATATAAATAGCCCATGGACACAGGCTACAGTGTGGTGAAGGCCAGGGGGTGGGGCTGGGTGGAGGAAAATGGGGGACATCTGTAATAGTATCAATAAAAACCCTCAAAACTACTTTTAAAGGGGTCTTTCAGTTATTCATTTACTTGTTAAACATGAAATTCAGTTGAAACAAAATATTGCTTGAATTTTTTAAAAAAATATATTTTATTGATTTTTTACAGAGAGGAAGGGAGAGAGATGGAGAGTTAGAAACATCGATCAGCTGCCTCCTGCACACTTCCCACCGGGGATGTGCCCGCAACCAAGGTACATGCTCCCGACCGGAATCGAACCTGGGACCCCCTCAGTCCGTAGGCCAACACTCTATCCACTGAGCCAAACTGGTTAGGGCAATATTGCTTGAATTTTAGCCAGATTATGTTGCCTCTGAAAGCCTGTTCTTTTTATTATTTTTTAAATCCTCACCCGAGGATATTTTTCCATTTTTAGAGAGTGGAAGGGAGGAGGAGAGAGAAATATGGATGTGAGACACATCAATTGGTTACCTCCCGTATGTGCCCTGAGCAGGGCCAGGGCTGGAGCCTGCAACCTAGGTATGTGCCCTTGACCAGAATCCAACCCAGACCCCTTCAGTCTGCAGGGCAACGCTCTATCCACTGAGCCACACTGGCTAGGGCATGAAAACCTGTTCATTTTGTTAAAAAAAGGTTTATTTGCCAAGTGTGAGAGAGGCTTAAAAAACAGCACCAAACCAAGACCTTGATATTGGGAATCTCTGGTGGAAAACCACGAAGGGAGCCTCTTCCTTGCTTTGAGGGTTGGTGGTATTAAGGGCAGATGATTTAGTTGCTCGTCTACACCAGTGATGGCGAACCTTTTGAGCTCGGCGTGTCAGCATTTTGAAAAACCCTGGTGCCCGTGTCACATACAGTTTTTTGATATTTGCAACCATAATAAAACAAAGATTTTTGATATTTTATATATTTCAATGCCATTTAACAAAGAAAACAACAAAAAAAAATGAGTTCACATGTCACCTCTGACACGCATGTCATAGGTTCGCCATCACTGATCGACACCGTTCCTGGGTGATTCTAGTGTTAAACCAGGGGGTGATCTTTCCATCGACCCTGAGCGGAGGGGTGTCATGGAATTCCAGGGATGCTCATCCTGTGGTTGGGGGATCGGTTTGTTGATTTGAGAGGCAGGTGAAGTGAGACAAACCCGTTTGTTGTCGCATTTATTGGTTGCTGGTGTGTGCTCTGACAAGGGATGGAACCTGCAACCTGGGGAATCAGGACACGCTCTAACCAGCTGAGCCACCCTGCCAGGGCCCAGCAAATGTTTCTTACGGGGAGAGTAGTGAACAGCCACGCCCAGTCTCTGCCCGCATGGGCCTCCTGTTCCAGCCAGAACCACAGACCTGTAATTCCATTGGTCATGCAGGGCTATGGGAGCTGTGATGCTAACTCAGGGTGAGGGCTGAGGGCATGAGCAGGGCGGCTGGCCGAGCCATCCCAGTGGGAGGGAGAGTGTCAGCAAAGAAGATGGAGCCACATCCTTCTAAGACAGTGGTTCTCAACCTTCCTCATGCCGCGACCCTTTAATATACAGTTCCTCATGTTGTGGTGACCCCCAATTTCATTGTTACAAATTGAACATCATTAAAGCATAGTGATTCGCCGAAACCGGCTTGGCTCAGTGGAGAGAGCGTCGGCCTGCAGACTGAAAGGTCCCAGGTTCGATTCCGGTCAAGGGCATGTACCTGGGTTGCGGGCATATCCCCAGTAGGGGGCGTGCAAGAGGCAGCTGATCGATGTTTCTCATCGATGTTTCTAACTCTATCTCTCTCCCTACCTCTCTGTAAAAAATCAATAAAATATATTTTTTAAAAAAGCATATTGATTCATCACAAAATATGTAATTATATGTATTCTGATGGTCCTAGGCGACCCCTGTGAAGGGTTGTTCGACCGCCACAGGGGTCGCGACCCACAGGTTTGAGAACCACTGTTAAGACCTTGTCTCCAGGAAGTCACATGGCATTATTCTGCTACCGCTATTGGCTGGAACAAGCCAGGCGGTTTCTGGGGAGGAATGGCTAAGGATTTGTGGCCACGTTTGAAACTGCCGTGGACAGGAAGGCAGTCGGCTCACCTCCAGTGACCACCTTCTCAGCACAAACCCGTGTGTGACATTTAGGATGAAGGAAGCTTGTTTGAGGACACGGCTGTGAACTCACCAGCCAGTGCTGGGCACCCCGGCGAGGCGCGTCTACATCGTTGGTTCTCGGACAACTGCTCCTTCCTCCTAGGAAAGGTCTCCCACTCATGCAGTGGGAGAGCAGCAGCACCCACGTAACTTCAACCCCGATGTTCCCATTGCTCCAAGCCAACAGGACCATGTCAGGTCGTGGAAAAAGACTACATGTGATACCACAGCCACAAATCCCTTTGCCTGGAGAGGCCGTGCAGGCAGCACTCAACCACTAAGTGCTGAACGTTCATTCCTTTTGACCCAGGGGTTTAGAAAATGTTTTGCAATGTTTACGCAGAACTCAAGAGAACAAAGGTGGAGGAGTGGAGGAAGGGGTAGAATGGGCTGTGGGTTACAGGCTGTCACCTGGAGAAATTTGTAAAGAAATACATTTTTATTGATTTCAGAGAGGAAGGGAGGGGGAGATAGAAGCATCAATGAGGGGAGAGAATCATTGATTGGCTGCCTCCTGCACACCCACTACTGGGGATCAAGCCTGCAACCCAGGCACGTGCCCTAACCCAGAATCAAACTGTGACCTCCTGGTTCATAGGTTGATGCTCAACCAACTGACCCACCCCAGCTGGATCTGGAGAATTTTAATGTCATCATCTCACGTGAAACATGGGCGTCAAATCTATGTCCCTCCCTCCCACAAGTCCCTCAGGGAAGTGGGAATGTGAAGTGCACATGCCTGGGTGTCCATGCTTGCCTGGGGTTTCCAGCTCTCTGGGCCCCTAGGACAGTGATGGCGAACCTGACACGCGTGTCAGAGGTGACACGTGAACTCACTTTTTTGGTTGATTTTTCTTTGTTAAATGGCATTTAAATATATAAAATAAATATCAAAAATATAAGTCTTTGTTTGACTATGGTTGCAAATATCAAAAAATTTCTATATGCGACACGGCACCAGAGTTAAGTTAGGGTTTTTCAAAATGCGGGCACATTGAGCTCAAAAGGTCGCCATCATTGCCCTAGGACTTATCTCTCTATGTCCCCATGCCCTGCACCTAACTGTATCTTGATGGGACAAGGAAGGGACACAATGACATTCATCCTGACTCACTTGGAATCTTGGGCTGGAGGGATTGCAGCCTTGCTCAGAATCTGCTAGAATTGGTCTGACAACCTCCATCCTTTAAAAAAAACACCCCAATTAATTTTGTTACCCGCCCACCCCCACCCCCACCCCCGAGGATTTTTAAATATTGATTTTTTAGAGAGAGAGGAAAGGGGAGAGAGAAACATTGATCAGTTGCTGCCGATAGGCGCCCTGACTGGGAATCAACCCGCAACCTTTTGGTTAATGGGACGATGCTCCACCCAACTGAGCTGCCTGCCAGGGCTCCATTCTTGTGTGTGAACATTGCTTATTTATCAAAACAATAATGAAGGGTATTTAAATAGGAAAATACACACACAGATTCTACCACAGAAATATAGTTTACTTAATTCATCTTCTCTTTTAGTCCTTGTTCATACACATAAATACTTTACTAAAAATATCAGTGCACCCACTTCACTGTAAGCACTTAGCTTTCAGTAACATCCCTTGTAATGACCAAATCATAACTGCAAATCCATTGAGTAAAAAACTAGATCTGTTTTCCAGCTGTCAAATTCAGTATCGACGATGCCCACGTCACCTGTGTGTGCAGGACGGGGCCCTGGAGGTCCTTTGGTCTTGAGAACACCGTCATTCAGTGCTTTGGGGTCAGGCCTGAGTCCCAGCACACCGCTCCGGTTCTGATGCAGGACTGGGCTGAGACGGCAGCGCCTCATCAACTGGCTTTAGCGCTAGATCGGTGTCTCTTGCGTTTAGCCCCACTGTGCGTCTTCTGGTGCCCGATGAGGTGTGAGCTCTGGGTGAAGGCCTTCCCGCACCTGTCGCAGACATAGGGGCGCTCCCCGGTGTGGATCCTCTGGTGCCGGATGAGGTGGGAGCTCTGGCGGAAAGTCTTGTTGCAGAACTTGCAGAGGTAGGGCCTGGCTCCGGTGTGCGTCCTCAGGTGCTGGGAGATGGCCGAGCGGTCATTGAAGGTCCGCCCACACTCTCGACACTTGAACGGCCTCTCCCCAGTATGAATCCTCTGGTGCTGCGTGAGGGAGGAGCTCTGGATGAAGGCCTTCCCGCAGTACCGGCACACGTAGGGCTTCTCTCCCGTGTGGATTTTCCTGTGCACGGAGAAGTACCTGGGGTTCCGGAACAGTTTGCTACACGCGCTGCAGCGGAACACCTGGCTCCCCTTGTGGATCTGGATAAACGTGACCTGCGGGGTGCTCCTGCTTTCCCGGGCTCTGCTCCCTTGGCGGCTCTGCTGGGTTTTCACCTGGGAATCACGCGCTGCCTTTCGAATGCGTGAGCTGTGCCTGCGTGAGCTATGCCTGCGCAAGCTTTTCCGGGGCAGAGTTTTCCGGAGGGAGGCGCGGCTTGTGGCGAGACCCCTGTCTGCTGGGGACTTGGGGCTTTTATGCTGCTGCTTCTCAGAGAGGGCTTCCTCCTGGGCCGGCCCCACAGGCGGCAATGCCGGGTCCCCAACTGCCAGGGCCCCCCGCTGCGGGGCCTCCCCTGAGGTCGAGGGTTGGGCCTCAGCCCCCGAGAGCTCTTCCACTTTCAGGTTGGGGGCTGGTTCTGCCTCAGGAAGAGCTGACTTTGGGGGTAACTGCTCCCCTTCCAGTGTAGTCTCCCAGCCTGAAAGACACCAAAAGGTGTGGGTCACGCAGAGGACATGCTGAAGTGGGCTGAGAGCAGGACAATTACGTTTAAAAGCTGGGGGTGTCTTATGTGTTTTTTAATCCTCAGCTGAGGGTATGTTTTTATTCATTTTATTAAGGAAGGGGGAGAGAAAGAGAAACAGTTGCCTCCTGTACACATCCTGACCGGGGAACGAACCCACAACCTTTTGGTGTGCGGGACAACACTCCCCCCAACTGAGACACCCCGCCAGGGCAAAGCTGGGGATGGTCTCCCCCAAGTGCAGTCTTGCAACCTGGGGAGCGACTGAGAAAAGCAGTACTGCAGGCAAGCAGGGACACTGTGCTGGAGACCGGGCTGGGGTGTCTGCCAGCTCTCCATCTCCTGTGCGGCCCTCAGGCACCCACAGTGAGGTCCCTCAGTGGGACTGAGGCTGCCCCGTGCACACAACACCCACCCCTTCAGGGCCACAGGCCAGTTCACGGCCCTGGTTGGTGAAGGGACTTGAGAAACATCCATGTGAGAGACACATCGACCGGTTGCCTCTTGTATGCGCCCTGACCCAGAATCGAACCTCCAGCCTTTCGGTGTACAGGACGATACTCCAACCAACCAAGCCCCCCCGCTCCTGAGGGCACACCCATTCCTCCAGCTGGGCCCAGAGAAGGCACTACCTGACGCGGGGCCCCCGTGCCACCCCCGTCTGTGAGAGAGACACATCGACCGGTTGCCTCTTGTAAGCGCCCTGACCCAGAATCGAACCTCCAACCTTTCGGTGTACAGGACGATACTCCAACCAACCAAGCCCCCCCGCTCCTGAGGGCACACCCATTCCTCCAGCTGGGCCCAGAGAAGGCACTACCTGACGCGGGGCCCCCGTGCCACCCCCGTCCTGAGGGCAGTGCGGGCGAGGGCAAGGCCTCACCCACGGAGACCAGGTGTCGGAAGGTCTCCAGCATCACGTCGTGGTACTCGGTCCGCTGCGTGGGGTCCAGCAGCTCCCACTCGTCCCTGTTGAAGTCCAGGGCCACGTCCAGGAAGGTCACTGGCTCCTGCAAGGCCACAGTGTGCTGCTCAGCAGGAGGGTCGGGAGCCCTCGGAGGGGACAGAGCCTGCTCTGTAGGGAGGGGTGCCTTTGCTTTGGGGAAGCGTGTGGGCTGAGGCAGAGCCCCAATTTCACCCGGAGTAGCAGGTACCTCCGCTACCCACACCTGAGTGCAGCTCACCTTTCTCCACACTCCCCACGCGTCTGGCTCCCGGGCAGCCGACCCACGTGGGGGAACAACAGCTGCGGGGCGTCCCCAGGCCGCCGTGACCGGGATCAGTCCTTTCCGGGGGGCCCGCGAGGGCTCCAGGGGGAGAGGCCTCCCACGGCCCTTTGCCTGGACCTGGGAGGCATTTTGCCCACAAGAGGCAGAGCCACAAGATGGGCTGGAGAGCCCTCCACCACCAGGGAGCCCCTGGACACAGCCTTGCCTGAAGCACCCCCAGATCACCCCACATGAGCGCCAGCACCTTCCTGCAGAGGCAGCTTCCGCCAGGAGCAGCCCTGGCCAGGGCCACACAGACACAGGGCTTGGGCCAATCTCTGAGCCTCAACAACTCTGGTTCTTTTGCAGCAAATCTAGACCGTCTCTGTCACGCTCTCCTGCCCTTCGCGCTGGGGAACTCCAAAAGGCCTGGCCCGGAGGCTGCGGGGGTGGGGTGGGGTGGGGGTGGGGGTCCCTCACAGGAGAAGCTGTGACAGAGCAGGAAGGGGTGCCGCTCCCCTCACCTCTGGCAGGACCTCTGCTGGGCAGGTGGTCTCCTTCTCCTCCTTCTCCTCCTGCTGAGCGGGGGTCTCCGGAGGGCAGGTGGGGCCCGGGGCAGGCAGAGCTGGGAGAGAGCAGCACAAGGTCCGGGGGTTTCAGGACAGGGTCAGCCCGTCTCTGGCCCGACGGGGCTCCGTGTGCTCCACTCACCTTCTCCTCAGAGGCTAAGCCCGCACCTCTGGCCCCCGAGTCCTCGACCGCCTGTCCCTGCCTGACACTGTAGAGGGTGGGGCTGTCCGGCCCCGCCCTGATGTGAATTCTGCCAAGTCTCCTCCAATTCAGGAAACAGCCCGGCTCAGCCCTAACTTTCCCCAACCTCCGTGTACCCCACCAACGTCTCTCTCCTCTCTATGTTTCTCTCTCTCTCCCCCTCTCCCTTCCTCTCTTTCTAAAATGAAATCAAAACCATATCCTCAGGTGAGGATTTAAAAAAAGAAAGAAAACCATCAGGTGCTTCATGGGGCAGGGAGGTGAGCAAAACGGACCTCAGCCACACAGAGGCCAGTCCCATGGACTCGGCTCCCACACGCAGCCACCCCTCCTGGCTGGGTGGCTCAGTGGTTAAAGCGTCACCCTGAGATGCCAAGGTTGCGGGTTCCATCCCTGATCGAGGCATAGGTGGGAGGCAGTTAATTGATGTCTTTCTCTCTTTAAAATAAATAAGTAAATAAATAAGACCCCAGTGGGTGTGGCTCAGTGGTTAGGCGCCAACCTATGAACCAGGAGGTCATGGTTCGATTCCTGGGCAGGGCACATGCTCGGGTTGTGGGCTCCATCCCCAGTGTGGGGCGTGCAGAAAGCAGCCGTCAATGATTCGCTCTCATCATTGATGTTTCTCTCTCTCTCCCTTCTCGGAAATCAATAAAAATACATTAAAAAAAAAAGAATACATAAATAAGTGGAACAGCAAATCAATGTTTTTCTTTCCTAAATAAATAAATAAATAAGTTCATTTATTTAAGGGAAAAAAGCAACCCATTAGCCCACCAGCCACACCTGCTGCCAATGAGGAGTCTGGGAAGCTCCCTCAGACCTGCCGCTGCCCCTGAACTCGGGGCTCGGTTCCCCCTGAGCCAGGGAACTTCCCAAGGGCCCTGCCCCACCCTGCGCTCCTGCTGGGAGACCTACCCCACCTTCTGATGCCTGAACAGACTGACGGCTCCCACCGTGGCCTGTGCAGGGGATGCTCCCCACCTGGCACACCCATCCTGCTGCCTCAGCTCTGCTCGGGCCAGGTGCTGGCCTCCACGGCCCGCTACCAGCACCCTCTGGTTCCTCTCAACTCCACGTCTCACACGCGTTCCTTTGTCACATTCGTCTCACACGCATTCCTTCGCCATATTCCCACCTCACACTCTCATCTGTCACGTTCCCGTCTTTGCTGGGAGACTGGGGCCTGCGGAGCTCAGGAGCCTGCTGTCCCGGTCACCACAGTGTGCACAGCCCCACCGCATGGAGACATGGGACGGCGCCCCAGGAACGTGCCTGTGGGACTGAAGTCAGGGTTCCTCCTGGCTGTGGGCAGAGCCGACGGAGGACACGGAAGCAGCCCATTGGAGAGCTCCCTGAGAACCTGGGGTGGGGCTCCTTGCACAGGCAGGGCCAGCACCTACCCCCCGCCAGGGTTCCATAGCTGGGGTGGGGCCTGAGGCCTCCATTTCCACAGCTGGGTCCAGGGAGGATTGCCAAGCCCTTGATCTGGAGGCCACGGCAGGGACCCCCGCAGCACGGACGCACAGGGCACAACCCAGCCCCACTCTCCAAGAGCCCCACAGGGGTGCCCCCTCCGCCCTCGTCCCCGCACCCACCTTTCGGCTCGGATGCCCAGGTCACATCCTCCACCAGGGCCGCCGCCTGCTGGCAGTCCTGCGGGTGCTGAGACTCCACCCACACCCGGAG